GATGAAAAGTGGTAAGGCTGCAGGAAATTCCCTGAAACAARGATGTTATTTTCTCAGAAACTAATAAAATATGATGAAAGAGTCAGCAGGTCAGACAGAATGACGGACAGAGAACTTCACATCCTGCATAATTCATATTCAGTCTGTAGCTTTATTGTTGTGCTGCGTCTCGGTTRAGATCAAATTGAAGGGCACCAACAAATGAACAGATAATATGCTTWGTTTTTTTATTTCCTGTTAAAACCCCCCGTTTTTAATATCCCTGGCCTCCAGTTTTGATATTGATTTGGACAGTAATTAATTTCTCTGCCGCTCTCCTGGCTTATTTCACTTTTGACTGCCCATATCTTATTTTATGCCCATAGGAGTCCTGCACTTCTCTTCCCTCTCATACCATCATACTGAAAGCTGTAATAAGGTAATTCACTCGGCCAAATTAAATTCATTTCCATACGTGACGCCTCTGTTTGAGTCCCTGTCCACATCGCAGGCTCAGTCGTCTAACAGGGTTGAATTTACGAGTCTTTGTCTGCAACCCTCGTTCCAGGACGGCTAATACAACCCATTATTTTGATTAAGACTTCCTTTTTTTTGTCCACGGCATGAATACAGATACCACTGGAGAAATTAAACAGCTTCATGGCAGGAGGACTAGGGAAGGAGAAATAAATTAGGGTAAAATGTTTGCTCTGTCTATTTAGTGGGGGAAAATGAAGTCAGACTTTTWTTCCCGTCTCCATGATATCCTGCTCTGCTTCATCTCACCTTTTCAAATTCAAATCCTCCCTCCCACTGGCTTCCTTCCCTCCTTTCCTATTCTCTATAATCACTTAGCCATGGCTGGCCTGTCAATCCATCTGACCCTTAGCTCCCCTAAATCACCGGAAAGTATTCTCCACCAAACTCTGACAGCATGTCGACATGATCCCCTACTTGACACCCACCGGGCCGACTCCCGCCTGCACAGGCCAAATCAAACAGCCGAGCTGCAGCCTGATGAAGAGGGAGGGAGGCGGCTGTGTGGGGGGAGGAGGAGGGGGGCAGGCGTCATGTTGACAGCATCCTGAAGGTGCACAGGATCCTGATGCTGCGCTGCGTGCACACACACACACACACACACACACACACACACACACACACACACACACACACCCACACNCACACACACACACACACACACACACACACACACACACACACACACACACACACACACACACACACACAGACACACCCATATGCATGACTTCAAACAGACACAAGCTGAAAGATAACTGGCGCCTTTGAATCTGTGAGTTTGCAACTTTTACAAGCATCATCCTCAAAGGGGAATTTAACCAAAAGCAAACATGAAGGCGTCGTTGTTGACACTTMCGTCAAAGAGACGATTCTCCTCCATTAACCCTTGTTTTACCCGCCAGCTGCTTCAGTGGATTGATGCTCAGGGAAGTGCCGAGTGCTCGTTTTGATCAGGAGCAGGCGCTTAATCAGAGCAGTGAGGCAACGAATGGTTCGTTTGGTGCACTGCATCTCTGCAGAGCCACTGTCTGTGCGCCAGACGACGGGTGCTACACGTGTTTTTCTGTATCTGTGCTTGTGTGTGCGTGGCCTTGTTTTTCCTATATCATGGGGCCCAGAAGATGCAGCCTCTTGGGGACCGGGTGCTCCTTTGGGCCCCACAACTTCGGAGGCTGATTTTGGTCATGGGGGTTGGGTTTGGGACCAAGGTGTGAATTGAGTTTAGGTTAGTTTTAGGGTCATGTACAAGAGTGGGCTGAGCACACAGCCCTGAGGAGCTCCGGTACTGAGGGTCAGAGTGGATGATGTGTTGGTGCCCATCCTTACGGTCCTTATGGTCGCAAATTTAAAGAGCTCTTGCTGTCGACCCGTCAAGAAGTTCAGGATCCAGCTGCACAGGGAACTGTTCAGACCCAGAKCTCTAAGCTTGGTGTCAAGTCTTGAAGGAACGATGGTGAGCTGTAATCCACGAACAGCATTCTCACAGTATCTGTGAGGTTAGCTTTAGGGTTGGTGGTCAGGGTTAGGATATAAAATTACCGTTTGATAAATAGGATGACCTATGGCTATGACAGGTGGCCAAGGAGCGAACGACCAACATCTGCTGATCTGCAGCAGCTCCTCACTTCAGCACAGATCTGGGCAGCATTTAGCAACATGTCTTTACCTGAGCTCAGTATCAGCAAGAGCYGTAATCAGACTCATAATCTGTATTAAGAATGAACAGAAATCCATATTTTTAGATTATATTAACTTCATTAACATGAATATTTCAACAACAGCACATTTTCCCTCAAGACCAAGCTGGTAATTTCCCTCCAGCTGCTCCTGTCAATACCTATTGGAGTGATCRGACATTAAAAATGCAAATTCCTTTGCCTTTTTTGAAAAGGAAATCCACATTATTCTCCTTCTTCCTTTTATTATGCCGCTTACAGCCTCCTCCCTYGTCTTTCTGTTGCCGATCCCTGCCTCTTCTTCTCTCCTCGCATAAATCTCTGTTTCCATCCATCTCTCTGATGGAACAGCTCAATTAAACCTTCAGCGTCAGAAGGGAGAGTCTGCACCATACTGTAGCAAGGGGCAATCACCGGATCCAGGTTTTGCTACTCTTGACAACAGAATCACCGCAGCAGCTCCTGTGACTGCCACACASGCAAACAACAAACCTTCAGCATTAAATAGTATGATAATGTGACCAGCAGTGGGTCCCGGGAGCATTGCTGCCTCACAGAGGATCCATAAACACAGACTCATTCACTCCTGAGCTGCRGCTGCATCTTCATCCATTGTCTGCCGCGGGTTTTATGGATGTTGCACAGATGGGAACAAGTCAGGCTCAGAGATTCCCCCCACTTTTTTTTTCTCTCCTCCACAAAGTCTCTCCAAGGGGTTCGTCTGGGACATGCTGCAGGCAGGGAGGAAGAGGAGAAGCAGCGAAGGGCAGGTTCACCGCTTCGCAAAGTAAACCAATGCTTTCAGTTCATGTTTTCTAGCATCCTCTCGTTCCAGGATGCTCACGGTGGCCACACGAGACGTCCACCTTCATGGTCGCAGGTTTAAAGAACTCTTGTTAATGAGACTGGTAGAAAGATGTCTTGAGTGGGAGCAGAAACCAGCTGCAGAGGCTGACAGAGGCGTCTGTGTGGCATACAGCCAGGTGAGAGGCTGCTTCTCCAGAACACCTCAGTCTGCTGGGAGCTGCCCCGCCCTGTTTCCACTCTGATATTGAAGTAGTCTTCATCAGGTTGGACAATTAGGAATCAGGCCATTTGATAGCCCCAGCACTTTTGGAGGGTTGAAAGTTTAAGGTGTATGTGTTGGACGATATGAGATTGTTTGGATTTGTTTTTATTTTAAAGAAACTGAGAACTACATGGTGCCAGGAAAAAAAAGGCTGTTCAGGACAGAGAGACCTGAGTTCAGTTTCTAATGCATGTGTATTCTGCTATAAGAGGGGAAACAAGTGACTTCTGAGAAGACTATAACATATGTGGGACCCTGTAACAAGTTGGGTTTGTTTACTAACAAATGTGTTTTAATAGATACAGTTTACAGTTATGAACTTTCCAGGTACATACTTCAATCCTATACAAGAATCAAGTAACTATCTTACTATGTATCAAAAATAAATTWGATTTTTCATCATAGCCTGCTGGCTTCTGCCCTATTAAGAACCTCCTACCGTTTCTGACATTACCACTTCAGCACATCTTCACATCTATGCTTTGGGGGARGGGTGGTCTGTGGGGCRGGAGCYTTGCAGAAGACTGRGGGAGGAGCTTTGTACAAATAGGTGGAGCTTTGCACCAGCAAGTGTTAAGGCAGCTCCACATGGCTACCACAGGAGATTCAAAGATTTCTCAAACACGCATGAATGAGTCAAAGCAACACTCTGAGTAKGTTTTYGATGAGAGAATTTTGCATTCTGCATGATAATCCCCCCTCCCTTTAAAGGCTGTCTGTCATCTTGAGTCTGGCCTCTGATTGTTTGTTAAGGACTGATCTTTGTAGGAGTAGTGGCTACAATATCTACTCTCTCACTCTCACTCTCCTGTTGATTTCCGAATCAATCTGTTTTTTTGATTCTTCCTCCCAGTCTTCTAAATGGAAAAAAATAAAAGTTTAGATTACAATTGTCTTGAAAACAGACCCTCTGCAGCTGCAGGAGCACTTGGAAACCGTTCAGCTGTGTTGACCATCACCTCGCAGCCGAGTTTCATCCTCTGCATCAGTGAAATTCCTCGCCGCAATCATGGGCTGTACTTAAAACCCCTCTGAGCCATTAGCTGGGAGGGTAGGGGAGGAGGCAAATTGTAAATCATAATCAAACAGCAGGAAGGACGCAGAGGCTTGGAAGAGCATCCGAATGGAATATTGTTTCCAGTTTTACAAAAACATGCAGATTTATATGTTGCAGACATGTGAGCTGATTGGAAAAGGTAAATTAGAGCACAGCAGTGTTTCACATCCCAACTTTATCCAACAGTGAAGTAAACATGAGGCAGTATCACGCAGAAATAGTGATAAGTAAAGCATTCAATTACATTTCTGCTGTTTATTTAATGTTAATGTCAGACGAGACCCTGTTGCATGCAGAGCACGGAACGCTGAATCTAAAATCCAACAATCAGAACAAACATTTTCCCCGAAGGTGTTTACAGTTTATCTGTGGCATTCAGGTCTCCCATTTAACACCTTTACCTTTTTTTTCCCCGTTCATACAATCTGCATTCATCATTTAGGTGTGTTGAAATATTGAAATAACAATCTGCTTCATTAACACACCTGAAAAGCGTGCTGGTGTTAATTAAAGTGATTTCAGTGTCGTTTTCTCTGACAGAAAACGAGGTAAAGGTGAGATGCCGTAAACATCCACCTCCACCTCTAACAGCCTAATTAAACACTGCTCACCTATCTGTTCACATGGAATAACAAACTGTCCATCCCCTTATTTAAAAATAAAAAATTCACCCTCTTACCTCCACGGTGAGGCTCCTCTCCTCTGGAACCTCCCTGCGTCCCTTTTTTTCTCTCTTCCTTCCTCTCTTCTACTTGTGCCCTTTTTTCCCTCCTCTTCTGTGTGAAATTGATTGTGCCCCTCTCCTCTCTGCTGATGCTGCAGTGATAGAAAAACACACCCTCCTTCGGCCGCGCTCGCTCCCTCCTTCCCTGACTCCCATTGGCTGCCTGTTAGAGGTGACATCACCCCTCTTTTCTGCCTCCCTCCCATCTTCCCTCCCTTCTCTCTTCACCTCGCTCTCTGTGGACCATCCCTTTTATTGTGCTCCCTTTTCGTCCTCTACATCCTCCTCTTTTATCTAATGCACTCAGGGATTACTGCTCTATTTTATTATTTTATATTTTATTTGTTGGCTTGTTTCTTCTCTCACTCACATGAGCAGTGCCAGGAATGATAACACACACTGAGCACATTTGGTCATGTCATTCCAGGAACTGATAAAGGTGAGGAGACGGATGTGTGTGACTCTCAACGCTCCACTGGGCTCAACTTTTAATTCTCTGGATCACTAAACTCTTTAGCTTCAGTTCATCATTGTGTAACCAAAGGTATGATGATGTGGGTTACATAACGCTGGTGAATATAAATATATATGTATATAAAAAAAATCTACACCAGGAGTCATCACAGACTCATATCTGAGTTAAGAGATTCGGATGGGAGATGCAATGACTTCTGGGTAATAACGAGCCCAGGGATTGTCTGGTCTTGTTGTGACAAGATAACRTGATTATTAAATGTCACTCTCTGGTTATGATGATGATAATGATCTTCTGTTTTACACACTTTTATCTTCTGCGCCCCGATTAAGGCTAATTTATGTTTCAGTCTGCCTTTCCCTGCAGCTGCTCTAAAACCCCGAAACACACATCTGAATGTTTCCTTTTCTAAAAAAAAGAAAGAAAAAAGGAAATTTACACTCAAAAGTCTCTYCGTTTGTATCCTTTAGAGGCTCGAAACAATTACCCTGCTCAATTTCACACTCCTTCAGTTCAGAACTACCTGATGTTTTTTCATTTGTTTCCTGCAGAATGTGGAACGGTTTACCCCAAGCTGTTCTAAGATTACTCCTGCAACCACGTTCTTCTTTTATATATATGTATATATGTATATATCTTTGTATTCATGCGTGAGGCTGCAGCTCCGGAGCAAATCCTAACAAACACTGGCATGAAACAGAAACCAAATAGAAAGAAAGAAGCAAATAGTTCTTTTTGACGCGTGTTTACTGGCACCATGCAATTAGACTTTTAATTTATTCTAAGGGGGCTTTATGCTGGTCTTTGAAGCAGCTGATTGGATTATGTGCAAAACTGTGTCTTGTTGTGACGGGGATTCGACATTGTGACCCCTCAGTAACCTGTGAGCTACATTTATTGACTCATCTTGCAGTGAGTATGATGCTTCCTGAACGGCCGTTAATGGAGTCAAAGCTGCTTTGGAATCAGTGCCAGAAAGCCTCCAGTGCTGCTCTTTAACACACATTTCCATATTCTTTATACACCTTTATGTGCAGAGACTCGATGAGCTAAATGTYGGAGTATCCTGTTGACCGCCACACTGATGGGATGTTTAAATCTGTAACTTCAGGCTAACAGTTGATGTATTTAATGTTTGTTGTAATTGATGTAACTAATCATCTTATTTTATAGACTTGAAACAAATAGCCTGCTCGGTTTATTCTAACAAAATATTAAGCTAAAGAAAGCAGAATRGTGAATTTCAAAAATTTGTCTGTTGACATTCTAAATAAAATTAGCTTTGTTAATTTTGTTTCTGGGTTTTTCACCTCTTTAAACGTGTTCATCTGTTCCACCTCCAGTCGACTGAGGCAGATGGCTGCCTGTCCTGGGCCTGCCTGGTCCTGCAGGAGGTTTCTTCCTGTCCCCTGCTGCCCACAGAGTGGAGGATGATATGGAAGTGTGTGTGTGTTATTCACTGGTTTCCTCAGATAAACAACTTTTTACAAACTGGATTGTATTGTTTCAGGATTAGATTGAACTAAGTGGATGTAATTGGGTTTTATATTTTCAGACCACATTAAATAAAACAAAGACTGATCTTGACAGCCAGGAATTTTTATGATCAAGCAGAGTATTAGACATACAGGACTCAGAGCCCTTTGATAGGTCCAGACTCCTCTCTCCTCTTCCTCTTTGAGATCTTGGGTTTAGTCCTGCTCTGTGACCTGGGTTCAGATAAGAAACATACTTCAAGACTTCATGCATAACGTTTCTGTTCTTCACATCTTCTTTGATCTTAAATTAAAAGAACTTCCTGTATCGTTTGTATAACATTTGCCTCCAACAGAACCTGTTTGCTTTGTTGCATTGTGAATTCTTAATTTTATTAAACTGGATTCATCTTCTGCTCTAAAAAAAGAAGAAAGAAGTGGGGTGAAAATKTCAGCGCTTGATTGCGTGCAAAATGAAAATGCCAGGTTATAAAAAAATGACACATTATGAGTCAAATGTTTGCCAGAGTCGGTGTTGAGCAGTTAAATTTATCCAGATTATCTCTTAATTTACATTTTGGGATTCGACTTCCCCTTGGAGCAACTTAATCCCTTTTCTTCTTACTGTTGGGAGCTTTGACTGTTGTTTTGTTCACAGAGAGACCCGGGTCTGACCTCAGGCTGATAAGAACCTGATGAAAATCAACATATATATATATATATATATGTTCCTGTGTCTGAAATCAGAAAAACAATTAGCACAGTTACACGCTCAGTCCACTTTTGTTCCTATAAATAAAGCTTAGGAAATTGGGGCAGCTCCACGTCCAGTCAGAAAATCTCTTTTTCCCATGGAGCTGCTGTTGTGGATTTTTTTTCTTTCTTTCTTTCTTTCTTTCTTTCTTTCTTTCTTTCTTTCTTTCTTTCTTTTTTTTGTTTTTTGTCTGCGCGTCTCCAGGCTGAGGGTGCCAACGTGTCCATCTGCTGCCGCCGGTGTCCGAGGATCTGCCAGGCGTACGGACAAAAGCTGCAGACAGCATGGGGGAAATGATGGATGGTGCCAGTCAGGTGGAGACCCTCTGCTGCTCTACAGGGTCAAATGGCTCCATGAATGAATGAAAAGGATGAAGTGGATTAGATTTGGAACACAACAACAATCTTGCAACATAATTACAAGTTCCCCAAGAAGACAGAAAACTGGATTAAACTTTGTCGACGTGACAGTGATTATCTCAGTCTCTGCTCAGAAAAGTAATAAAACAAAAAGCGRGTGGAAACATTAAGAGGGTCGATGCAAGTGGAGCTGCATCCAGGAAATTAGATCTGATGAGTTCGCCTCTTCATCCAGAGATGTTTCCATCGCCTTMTGGACCCCTTCCTCCAGCTGTGACCCCGATACAAACAGGGCCTTTCCCCCTGAGCCTCTCATCCTGCCAGAGATCCTCCACCTGTCCGTGCAGAGGCTCTCCATCTATTTTACTTCCTGTAAGCGAGTCAGCTGGCAGGAGAGATGGAGTGATATATGAGAAAGGGGCGGGAGAGCATGAATGAACAACTTAAAGCCCCGAGCTGCAGGAAAAACATGCCGTCAGCAGAATATAAAGAGAGACAAAAAAGCTATTCCATCAGCTTAAAAAGCTGCAGGCATTACAGCAAATGGCTGCAGAGAGGGTGTGGACCCTAAAGAGGAGGAAGTTAAAAGCTACAAACAATCAAAGGTTTTTCCAAGCTGCATGTAGGAATCAGGATGGAAAACAGAGCTGATGTTTGTTGCAGCAGAGGCCTCATCCTGAATGAAAGATGGGAAGAGAAGTGAAGCCGAGCCGACAAGAAAAACATCTGCTCTGCAGGGTTGTTACAGTAATTCTTTCTAAAAACTTTATAAAGAATGAGCTGGAAAAAAAGAGAAAAAAGTGTTTCTGGGAAATCAGTTAAGGCCAGTCATGATGCAGTTTCTCTAAACACAGAAACAGGAAGAGTTTCAGGGAGGATCTTTTGTCTTCGAATGACTTTTTTTTTAAAATATATTAGTTGTTCAAGAATAAACTTCATATAAAAAGTGTTGAATCTGTTGCTTAGTCATACAATAGATTAGGTAATACAATCAAAATGAGTATGATGAGAATTATCATCTAACTTTTGTCATTATCTTCTTTGTTGTTTGGTAAAATGAGAAATTTAAAGAAACAGACCGATTTGTTTGTAAAGTCTCAGCTGGTAAAACAGCAAAGTAMACAATAAAACTGTCTGCGTTAATTATTCCAGCTCATTCAGTCTCACTAATTCTAATTTACTGAACACCTGAGGCCCCGTTTACTGAAATGTTCCAAATTTTCACTTTAGCTCAGGTTTCTAAAAGTTTTCTTTATAAGATTAAATAAAGCAGCATTTATATGTTTTTAGGATCCATCTGGATCATTCATAAAGAGGTTTCTTATCACAGGATATAATTTACAGTAAAGAAGTAATAGCAGAAATAAAT